AAACAAAAAGGACCCATCTAAAACAGTTTTTTTGCGATAAAAAAAACTCCGCTATCGCTCCGTTTTTTTTTTCGCACGAGCGCTTCGCGCGCGGAAAAAACTCCTATAAATGAGGAATACCGTTGTCTACTTTGAGCGCGATGGATCAAATGAAGAAGGCACCGCATCCAGGCGACGAGGTCAAATACTTCCTCAACGGCGAACAAAATAAATCCCAACACACGCGCGTCACGTCCCAGTCGCAAAGCAAGGGGATGCCACACACACGAGAAATACCCAAGTACATCATTACATGGGGCCCATCCACAGATGAACAAACCATGGTGTCGAGGGGTAGCAACCACCTTTCTTTGGTGAGACGCTGAAATAAGTAAAACAAAAACAAGAGAGAAAAACCGCCAGGTGAGCGTGGGTNCCATGGTGTCGAGGGGTAGCAACCACCTTTCTTTGGTGAGACGCTGAAATAAGTAAAACAAAAACAAGAGAGAAAAACCGCCAGGTGAGCGTGGGTTCTATTGAAGCCGTCGACAAATGGACGTAAGAAAACAACGTTTGTGACAAGGAACAACGGTGTTGTCGCCCACGAAGTTGGAACGAGCTCCTACGAGCACGAAAATCAGGGTAAACAATTAAGCTAGATTCACATTGCCGCCGGTACGAATTTATGTCCTGCTGAGACAAGGGTCCGCGGGCATGTGTGGGCGTGCCATCTCGTATCGCATCCCCGCCGCACCGTCTGGCAACCAAACCAACGCAGGGACACACGGCTGCAACGGCGTGAAACGCATACGTCGGGCGCAAGCTCTCTCTCCCACCCACCCTGTCCCCGGCTCCGTCGCAAGGTACCTATTGCCTACAACCCGTAAGTGTTCTCCCTCTACCACATCCCACTCACATCCCCCGTCACCGCGATGATCTTTTCGCCCGCCTCTCCATCTGCCGTCAACAATCGAACCGCCCACGCCCCCCCCTGTCGTTTAACCCCTCTGCGTCCATGCTCGGCTCGAACAGGCACCGAACGCGAGGCGAGCCCAACACATTTTGGCTGATGCCTGAGAGTAAACGGGGAGAGCGTAAGGGGCGATGGGGCAGAAGGAGAGGGGGTCGGCTTATCGAAGTGACCATAGCTCTAGAAGTGTGGTGGAGACGCGGTATTTTTGCAGCCGTTATCCGGGGGCTCTGGGGGCTCTGGGGGGTGGGAGTCGATCGGTAGCGTGGGACATATCGGGTAGTAAGTGGTGCCGCGAGATGTGTGTTTAGACCCATACTGTGACCAACTTCTGCTCTGGCAGGGCGCATCCTTGATATTTTCGTGCCACTCAACAGCGCATGTTTTCCCGCCAAACAGTGGCATGCAAATCACCCCCGTAAGTCGGACATCCGTTTTTCCAGCTGTGAGCCGGAGGTGACGAAGAGGTCTAGGGAACGCATACAAGGGTCTGCCCGCGCCTCTCGTATTCGGCCAATGGTGTCACACAAAATACCCCCGCGCCCCCGACGCTCGATGAAACATACTAAAACACGTACCTCACGCGACCGGGCCGCGTCCGAAGCTGTGGAAGTACTTGTTGAGGAGGTAATGAGCGCTCTGGGTAGGGGTGCACCTCCATTCGTCCTTCTTGCCCTCTTCTCGAAGCAAGCAGCACGAAGAGGCCCCAGTTGTGGCACACGCATGCCCCATGTGGACCAAAGGGAAAAACTGGACGGACCTGCAAAGGTAGAAGGCGTCGCACACCGTTGGAAGGTCGACCTTGCGCCCTTGGCCCCTCCCGGCAGTAACGTACTCTTGCACCGCAACCCAGATCGTCCACTCCCCTCCTTCTTGAACCTTGCCGTCAACGAGATGCCTGCTGTCATTCCCTTGGTGCTCGCAAAAATAGCGATTCTCCCGAGGGTTGTGGCTGCCTGTCCGCGCTCCCCGGAACGGCAAGCATTGGTATCAACGTAGAGTTCAATGTCGTTCGCTCTCGACGTTTCCTGGATCATCCACTTGTTGCCGAACTCGGCGGCGTCCTTTACTGAACCACCCCGTAGAGTACCTGTGCCTGCTCTAACTCCTCCGGCGCGTTTCCCCAATGGTTGAAGCAAGTCACGGAACCGTTGTGCAGGCCCGGACTACCTCGCCCGCAGAACGCACATACGTCGTCGTTGCAGAGCGGCCCGGACTCTTCCCGGCCGCAGCCGAGCTTTTCTTTGTACAGCGCCTCTAGTTGTAGTGCGGTCGGAAGCGTTTCTCGGACAACAGATTGCCAGTCAGCTCGGTCCACTCCCGTGAGTGCTGTCTCCGTCCCGACAAGGTCTTCATCCCACTCCACATAACCCCATGGTCACCCCGCCGACAGCGTGTCCGACAGAGCGGGCGCGAGCGGCAGGACGGAAAATACGTCCTGGAGGGTCTGACGGCAGGGGTCGCCTGCCGTGACCGTTCCCCTCTCCCACTTGCTTCCGGTCCAACCCGAGGTGGTCCACTCGATTCCGTCCGCCAGCGCTTTGATAGCAAAGCTGTCGTTCGTAGCACGCCAAATATGCCGGGCGTTGTCTCGTCCACTCGCCGAAGGAGCCGATGCTTTCAGTTCCTTGTTCTTGGCCTCTTCGACATTGCAATTCGTAACATCGCCTGCGAGTCAGACGGCGAACGTTTTGGCGCCAGAATTAATGGAGGGACATGGTCACTTCATTGGGTTGTGAATCCGTCGAATTTACGCCAACGCGCGGCAAGGGTAAGGATCGGCGAAGAAATACATCGAGGACTCGCCGAGCGCTATGTCTTCAAAGCACCATCGGAACTCATTAGGGGTAGGGCGCGAAGGCAGTCGGAGTGTATGAATGGGGAGCGCACGCGTGAGGAGGTGTGCGGCAGGCACACAGCGGGCCTCACCTACGCAGGTGGCAAGTGGCTTTATTTCGCCACACAATGGTCTGGCAGCCATCACAAGCGAAGCACGTTGTGGTGCGTTTGACTATAATAGTCGAGGGGCGCTCAGGTGGGATGTATGCTGTGAATCTCGGCGCATGCAGTACGGAAACTTCGACGGAACGCTTGACGGAGATGACACCTAGAGTACGCTCAACACATTCCCTTGGTTGGGCGGTGGTCCGCACTTCGGTGATTCGCATTTCGATGGTCTTGTCGTTCATTTGAGCAAAACGCCCAATGTTGACGAAGATTACCCTTACTTCACGTTCGTTGACGAAGAAGACTGGAGGTGGCGCCGGCTTATGTTCCAGTCAATCTCTCATGTAGCCGTCCTCCTGTGCGACCCCGGCTTTTACGTGGGACAAACAGACAAATGTTGGCAACATGGTGCCAGAGAAGATGGGACAGACCCACGCACCCTGTGGACAAGTTACAGCACGGGTTCGTGCCAACTAGATACACTCGAACGCATGCAACGTTCGCGCAAATAGGGCCCGCGTGTGTAGGTGTGATGGCGCGCAGAAGGGTAACCGTCTGCGAACTCACGAACTCTGTTTGCGGCCTACGCCACTTATTTATCGGGTGAGACTGTTTTGGTGATGTATTAACTTCACGGGAGGTAGGCGACCGTCCTTCACACGGACGAAAGAGGGAGTGCTCAAAGAGCGGCTCCCACAGCAAGGAGGGGCCCCGTGAATCATCGCGGTGCCCCCTATCAAACGGTTATCTTACCAGTCTGCGTGACACAAAATCATCCAGCACATGTATCCAACAGCAATGTTCGCAGACTCACGAACACCCTCCCTGGTTCTTCACGCAAGTGACTAACCATCAATTGGGCAAGAACGCCCCAGGATACATCAGAAAATACCAACATGGTAACATATGGAGGGGAAACCCGGCGTCCGGGCAAAACCCCTCAAGGAAAAACCCTTCCACCA